TACATACAAAAAATTGAACAATTCTTAAAGGTTTAGTTTGCCGTGAATATCTCTAAATATAACTACATAATGTCAGTGCATGTGGTTATTAGCCGGAAAATCACATAATGGGATCCAATTTTCCCACATTGATTTCAATATTGCTTTGGTTGTCATCAACAAAAAATTTATGAAAATCATAAAGGTATTGTCTTCTAATAAATATTTTTGTATCCTTAATTTTAAACTGTACTTGTAATGCTAGTATTGGATTTTGAATGTTTCCTAAATTAAGAGTTTAAAACTAGTTTTTTTTTTATGTATATATATATACTAGCCGCCTAAGGCGGCCAGCTGTCCGCCACGCTAAAGGTTTTCACAAATAAAGTTTTTTAAAACATAGCAGGAAATCTGAAGATTAGTGGACAATTAAAGTGTTCCTGTCCTGCAATTTTGTCTTCATATCCAGTTCTGCTGCAGACTAAAGTTAAACTTTTCTCCACTTTGATAAATGTAAACTAATGCGAACCTTACAGTTAAATTATTAATTCCTTCGTATATTATTGGTTTAAGTTGTCGAAAATTAATATTTCAATTGTAAGGTTCGCATTAGCATACATTTGTAAGAGTGGAGAAAAGTATATGCATTTTTAATATGGCTCTTTGAAGACAAAAGAGCATAGATTTTCTTACAAAATGACTGATAACTGAAAAACTAATCCAAATTTTTGGAAAAGAAAAAAAAAATACATCTTCATTATGTCAAAACACAATTATGTGCCGAGTTTCGTGCCTGGGCGAGGCTTCTGGGGCAATATATTGTGATTACAGACAGACACACACACAGCCGCGTTTATTATTATGTATAGATAACGTAATTCTACGCTATATTTTAAGAAAAAGTTTTTTAAACTGGTGTCTTATTAACCGTTTTACAATTACTATTTTTTTTTTGTGCAAATTCAATTACTATACTATTATAAATCAAAGATATTCGTTAAATGATTTAGAACTTACGATTAGCTTCATGTACAATGTGATGCATGCAAAAATTGTATTTAATATATCTGTTTGGTAAGCGAAAATATTAAATTACGGTTGTGAACTCACCAAATTGTAATAGCAATATTCTTTAAATTTTAAATGCTATTTTAAAAAATGATTACTGAAAAAAAAATACTTAATCTAATAGATCTTAATAGAATCATAATGGGAAATAAATGGATATGGAAAGTGGAGACACAAACATAAGTAAACAGAATTGAAGTGAACAATTTTTATAATTACGTGAATTTTAAGTCAATAATTTTTATAATTACGTGAATTTTAAGTCAATAATTTCAACTTTCTAAATAAAACTGTTTTATACCAGGATACAACAATTATTGCGGATTGGTGACCGGCAGCGAGCAGGAGCTTAGTACAGGGGGGGGGAGGTTTGTAACCCCTTAGTGCAGTGCTCCCCAACCTTTTTATCACCACTGACCTGTCAACGTTTGATAATTTTTCCAAGGCCCCCTGGGGGGGGGGGGTGTTAATTGTTTATATATTAGATTATTTTGATTTATTAATTTTAGTTTAATTGTATTTAAACTTGACTTCAAAATAAAATACAGTTACACCAAAAAATAAATATAAAGTGATTTAACCTTTTAACTTACTAGAACGTTAAATCAATGAGTCACGATCGAGAGACAAGACAAAGTTCTTCATTAGTTCCAATGTAAATTTCGCGCTGCGCTTTCGTGCTTTATTTACAGTTATGATGATTGATTTACAATTATGATGATTGCTATATTTACAGTTACGATGATTGATTTTTTTTATTAAAACTAATTGAAAGAGAAAACAGTTCCAGTGGTTTTCTTTTCTTTTTTTTACTTTTTAAAACATTAAAAAATTTATGTTACTACCAGCGGGGCTTCCTTATTTTTAAATAAATAAAATTTTAATGTAACACAAATATTTTTAATTTCGGGTATAACCCTAGGAATTTAAATTCAGTTTCAATGAAGTGGGCGGCCCGGCACCACTGGTACCGGTCCGCATACGGAAGGTTGGGGAACACTGCTCTAGTTCATAGTAATTTTGTAAATAGGTTAAGAAAAACAGATGTTACCATCAACAGGGATGAGAGTAGTCAGAAAGTAAAAAGAGAGGAAATCCAAGAAAAAAAAATTAAATATAAACAAAAATTTGACAAAAAAAGTGCGATTTTTAAACTTGTAAAGCATGTGATTATNATATATTGTGATTACAGACAGACACACACACAGCCGCGTTTATTATTATGTATAGATAACGTAATTCTACGCTATATTTTAAGAAAAAGTTTTTTAAACTGGTGTCTTATTAACCGTTTTACAATTACTATTTTTTTTGTGCAAATTCAATTACTATACTATTATAAATCAAAGATATTCGTTAAATGATTTAGAACTTACGATCAGCTTAGTACAGGGGGGGGGGTGCTTGTAACCCCTCAGTGCAGTGCTCCCCAACCTTTTTATCACCATGGACCTGTCAATGTTTGATAATTTTACTGTGGCCCGCTGGGGGGGGAGGGTGTTGATTGTTTATATATTAGATTATTTTGATTTATTAATTTTAATTTAATTGTATTTAAACATGACTTCAAAGTAAAATATAGTTACACCAAAAAATAAATATAAAGTGATCTAACCCTTTAACTTACTAGAACGTTAAATCAATGAGTCACGATCGAGAGAGAAGACAAAGTTCTTCATTAGTTCCAATGTAAATTTCGCGCTGCGCTTTCGTGTTTTACTTACAGTTATGATGATTGCTATATTTACAGTTACGATGATCGATTTTTTTTATTAAAACCAATTGAAAGAGAAAATAGTTCCAGGGGTTTTCCTTTCTTTTTCTTTTTTTATACTTTTTAAAACATTAAAAAATTTATGTTACTACCTGCAGGGGCTTCCTTTTTTTTTAAATAAATAATTTTAATGTAACACAAATATTTTTAATTTCGGGTATAAACCTAGGAATTTAAATTCAGTTTCAATGAAGTGGGCGGCCCAGCACCATTTGATCCACGGACTGGTAAAGGTCCGCATACCGAAGGTTGGGGAACACTGCCCTAGTGCACAGTAATTTTGTAAATAGGTTAAGAAAAACAGATGTTACCATCAAGTAAATTGCTTTCAACTTTACTCTTCTAGAATATTTTAACACAGTTTTTATTCATTTCTTTTAATTACTGAATTTGATATTTTAAATTGAAAATATTTTTTGTGAAAACTAACTTATTTACAGCCTATTGAAGAATCTATTTCTTTTTTATCTAATATCACGATACAGCGCCATTTTTATAAATAATGAGATTAAAACAAGATAAGAGAAAAAATATTAAATAAGTAACAAATGATTTTATTAACAATCTTTTCATGGCATTTTGGTTGCTTTTACGAAAAAAAGCTGCATAGTTATTTACAATGAGTGTGTACTATTAACAGATTTTTATCAGTGCTGTTACAATTTCACAAATTCAATACAATAACATTTTTACAAATTCATAAGGGAAGTATATATTATTTTGACTCATTACTAGCTTATTGAAAACTAGGTCACTTTGTGAAATTAAACTATTTACAATTCTAAGAACAGCATAAATACAGATAGTTAAAAGATATTCAGCGCAAGAAATGTAAATAAGCACAATGTAATTAAAAGTAATCACAAATTTACATTTTTTTCTTTCAGAAGCATCAATATGAGCTATGAAGGCACATTCCTCATGCTGGTTAATTAGCACAAAATGTGCACTTTTTAGCACAAAATTTAAGTACTATTAAGAGAGCATTAGCAGTGAAAATGTTCAAAAGTAGCAGCTTTGTCCTTGACTATTCTAATTTGCAGACTTTTACTAAAATATATAAGTTTTTAGTTTTAGTGTAAGGTTGAGAAAGGTCAATATATTAATTTTTAAAAAGAATGAGTCATGCGCCACCTATGACACAAACAAACAAAAAGTATGTACACTGCATTTTTAAAAACTTAACAATAAAATCATCACATTAGCTAAAATGCCCTGACTCAGGACAGAAATCTGTTCACAAACTGTTTATCATAAATACAATATAACTTACTAAAAAAAATTAAAACCTTATACAATATTTATAACTGTAAACACTATCTAGAAAAGAGTCAAAGACTAGTTTGTTTTTATTTATATAAAATAAGTGGAAGAGTAATGTTTGAGTAAAAAGCTTCATGATAAGTCTTTTTAGCATTTGTGGCCAACAATGACCAAAATGCTTACAGTTACCCAACATTTTCATTAATCGTTAGCAATATTATTATTATTTTAATATTTCTTGGTGAAAATTTATTTTATTCTTTCATAAAGAAATCAAAAACCAATTTAATTTATGCAAATAGATAATAAAGTAACCAATTTTTTTTTCAGGTTTAACAAACAAAACAGTGCAATCTATTTTCAGTCTTTTTCTGGTGTACATTTATTTTTAATCTGTAAAAACATCAACTTAATTTCAAAATATTGTTTTTTGATACAACTCCTGACTCTCCCACAAAAAATAATAATACTTCAAATTAATAGCAAAAATAGTCACAAATACATACAAATTGTAATAGAAATTGCTAGAAATTGCAATATTTATTTTTCAAAAGTAATTCAACCAAAATATGATAAAACAATAGTCTTTATTAAATGATGTTTCACTCTATTAATTTATTTTTATTGTTGAAATTACAAAATTTATTTCACAATATTGTTTCCCTTTATAAAATTATTTGTAAAATGTAAGAAAGAAATTTTTTTTATAGCATTATTGCCAAAAACAGTTAAGTATTGATTAGTGTAATTATTGTGTTTCCATTACTAACAAAATTAAATTTCACACCCTTAAATAAATATTGAGAATAAATTTAATGGAAAGAACAATTAAGCAGATAAAATTACTGTGCTTAAAAAATGCTTACATAGTCTTATTGTAAGTGTTATAATAAAATAATTAAAGTTGAAATGAAGAAAAAAAAGACTAACATTGCTTACAAATGTTAGAAAACAAAATAAATTAACACAAAACCATACACATTATCACATTGCAAAAGATAAAACAACTTTTTACAATAAAAACATTACAGGTTTCTCAATTAAAGTTATATGCTCCTTTCATTAAAGTAACCAACCAAGCATTTTACTTTTAAACAAATTTTTACAGAAATTTATACTCAACACATAACCTTCTCAAAAAACAACAAAAAAGAAAACAAGTTTTCCAGGAAGAAACTGAACTAGTTGAAGAACATCTTTAGGTTCAGAAAATGTTCAGTCAGATAATAAGGTATCATATTTGTAATAAATTATTAAAGTTTTGTGTTGTATTTAAATTAAAAACCTAATGACACCATACATGAACAGTTTAAAAAGGTTTCATAAAATTTCTTTATTTCTAATTATTTCAGTAACTTTTTATTTTTTAAAATCATTAATATACCTAAACCATTTTTACACTCATTAAAACAACCCAAATAAAAATAAATTAATTCATTATTTTAATTATTATGTTTTAATTAAAATAAAAAACAATGATACTAGACTTTTTAGACAAAACTTATAAAAATAAAAAAAAAGTGTAGTGTTATGAATAAACGTAAAGAAACAACCAAACATATACAATTTGCTTAGCAAATTTTGATTTGTACATCCTTTTTGAGTAATCTTCTACGTTGCTACAATACATTTGGCCTGAAAAAAAAGGAACAAATTTTTATTAAAATGGGGGGGGAAAAACATAATACTAAATTAAAAAATATCATAATTATCTTTATTATCATACAAATTCTTATTTAATAATTTGCATGATAATATTCAGAAAACATTGATTTTTATTTAAATTTAAGAAATAAAAAATTTTATGACTAGAACTAACCAAAGCATTTATAATAACATTAATAAATATCTCCCATCATGCTATTACCACAATCAATAAAAATATGCTTAAATAAAATATTTTCATATTTTTTTTAAAAATTCTTAACATATGATTACAACATGTAGCAATAAAACAGACTGGTTCACTGTTTAGAATTTTTCAGTTAGTGATTTTTATAAATATTTTGCCCCAATTTTTAAAAAAAATAATAATAAAATAATTAAAGTTGGATATCTAAATATTAAAAATATAAAATTATCTTAATCAGCTAAAACAAGGGTTTCCAACTTACATGAGGCCGGGGCCACAATGAAAAACACCAGTCAAATGGCGGGCCCCAACTTTATCAAAATTGTATATATTGCTCTTTTATGTTTCAAGGAACATTAAATATTACTGTCAGATTTTTATCAAGTTGTACAAAACAAAACTATTGAATTACAAACTAAAACAAGAAGTAGATTTTTAAAAATATTTAATTGCATATTAAAAAATTCTGGCTACACTAACTTTAATGTGCACCTATGTATTAAACAATTAAGGTGCAACGGATATCTAATTGTTAAGATATAAAACTTTAAAAAGGTTGGTATTAAAACTTACATAGTAGCACAAAAAATGTTCAATGAGAGATTTGAGATTTGTCTGCTGCAACCACCAGAGAATAGATATTTACATTTTAATTTTAAAATTTACAGATATAAATAATTTCGTCCAAAATGAGTGGTTTCATAAAGCTAAATTGGAGAATGTCTTCGAGAAAATTTCTGATACACACACGCTAAATTATATTCACAAAATGCAAAAAAAAAAAATTAAAAAAAAATGAAAAAGAGCAACATACACGATTATTTTTATATTTGAATAAATATTTTCTTGGATGCAAAACCTGAGAAATAAATTTTTGGCACCGTTGATATGGCAAATTTCACAGAAATGAAGAAATTAGGTTATTTTGAACGAGAAAAGTATTTTAAACCCATATAGAATTTTTACGAAAATTGTCTGCAAAAAATGACAATTAATGCATTTTAGTTCGCGGGCAGCCAGTTGATAACCACTGAGCTAAAATGTAAAGTTTAATTTATTTATCAAAGGTTAGTTTAAAAATATCAGCAACAAAAAAACTAGGAACATGTTATTCTTTATTATTATACTTATTTTCAAATTGAAGTTTAATACAAGTTTGAATGTGATAAAAAAAAACAATTTTTGAAACAAAAAGTGAACAAAGATAAAGCTGTTTTGAAATAAATAGCTTATTTACAAGGAACGAAATATAAAAAAATTCCACAAAATAAAAGCAATTAAATTTTTCAAACATACCTTTCAATCTGTCTCTTTTTAACTTAAGTAACATATTTCAAATTTATTAATTAAAATATCTTTAACATGAAAAGTGCAGTACTTTAAACAAAATGAACAATATTACTGTAAATAAAATGGAACCAGATTTACTAAATTGTAAAACTGCATTTGTTGAAAGAGCTTTTATGTTGTTTAAATCAGCAGAAACAGTTTATTCGATTATTGTATTTACATTATTACAGTATTTTTTTATATTACTTGAATAATGTTTCATTATATTTTATTTTAATAAATCTCTAAAAATTAAATAATTAGATTGAATTCTTCCTTCCGTTTTCTTCAAGCATAAACTTCATAAAAAAATTTATTTTTTTCCCCTGATCCTTTAGGATAGAATAAAACAAATTTTCATCAAGAAACATTATATAAATTAAAGCCAATATTTAACAATAGGTAACAATAATTTTTGAAGCACTTACAACAAGTCAACGACTATTTCCTATTTACATGTTTTTGAAGAGAATAAAGATTTTAATCAGATAATAAGTACTTTGGTCATTAGACGCAGTGTTCTCCTAAAGAGTTTTTTGAAAGTCGGCCCACCCTGCTTGCCCTTTAATCTCAACAAATGCGCCCTTTTTGTAAAAATATGCCACCATTCCTTAAAAACACTGATTTTTTATTCACATACCATTTTGAACAGAAAGGAATTCACTGTTTAAATAATAATTGCACATTGGTAAAATTATCTGTGTTTACAAGTTTAATCATATTACAAATATTTACTTCGTTAGGATTATTCTCAATTGGTTAAATTTTTAAAAGTTTATTTCCTTTCTTTCTTTTTTTTTTTTTTTTTTCTTCTNTTTTTTTTTTTTTTTGGAGGAGGGTGGATATTAATACATTTTTTAAGTGATTTTAAATTTTTAAAATATTTTTTTAATTAAATACTTCTTTTAAAAATATATGCACCTTAAAATTTTAATTTTCTCAAAATTTTCAGTTTAGATATCACAGAAAAAGCTTTCAGCGAGTTTATTAATTAATCATTTTTTATTAGTTTACTTTTTTTTGAAGGAAAAAAAAATATGCACAGAGATTGCCTTTTAGCATATACCTTTAATTATTTTTATAAATTCCAAATTTTCCTCATATTTTGATAATGAGAGAGAATTACTTTTTGTAATATAATCTAAAATAGTATGAGAGGGTAATTTAAAAATTTCATAATTCAGTTACTACATATACACATTTTGATAAATATTAACGATGTTAGAGTGCCCTTCCAAAACTCAAACTGTCCTTTTCAGTGAGGAAACGCCCTGCACTTTTTTAATCCTAGAGAGAACTCTGTTAGATGCAAAAGTTAAATATTTTAAACCTTACCTTGAGCATTAGTTCTTCAACTTATTTTATACCTTCAAATTATCATACAACAAACGCATACTTTTAACTTAAGTATAAATAATCTAAACATTAATAACTATAACTTATCACACAAAAATCAAAATACTGTAAGGAAGAAATATGTAATAAGTAAAAATGCATATATCAGTTATTGATAATAGTACCATATGGGAAGAAAAGGCTATGACGAATAATATCATTAGGTACTATGGAGTACAGAAAGGGTGCAAACTCTTAAACATAAAAGAAAGAGAATAAGAAAAAAATATTACATTTTTGCCAAACTGTATTATATCATATATCTGAACTTGACATTTGACTAACTCCAGAAGAAGTAGGTTGAATATTTTGCACCTCTATAATGGACTGGGAAGATAGCTGTTGCTCAGAAATGGATGCTTGGATAAAGGAAGTTGAAGGAGTAAGTTCTGTGCTATCTACAGTTTGAGCTATACAAGCTGGTTGTGTCTGTGTTGCAGTTTGCTCTGAATTTCGAATGGCTGAAGCAGTTTGTGGTTGTTGCTCAGTGGATGAAATTTGAATACTACGTTGTAAAGCAGCTGCCGTAGTACGAGTGGCAGCAACCCCACAACTCCATTTTTCGATCTTCACACGGTAAAATTTAGTTCCGAGTGTAAGTTTGAACCTGTTGTTAACCTAAAATAATTCAAAATTATACTGCTATAAGAATAAATTTTGAGTTCAGAACATCAATTTTAAAAATATATATAGGTATACAAATTATTTAAAAAAAAATTCAATCAGAGAAAGTTTTACCCCTACTGTGTAATTAAGAACAATTAAAAATTATAATTATGAAATTTTTATATAATTATACATATTTCATATATAATTAAGAATATTTTGATAAAAGTTTTGAAACCTATTCTTTTCTTCTTATTGCTGAAAATGATAGGAAACACATTAAGAAAGAAAAATTAAAATTATGACAGCCAAAAAACCCTGGTTATGATTAATCTTTGAATACAGCTTTTTATTTATGCATTTAATACCATATACTAATGTTAAATTTTCATTGAAATGCACCTATTTCAATTTTTTTTAAATAATTACAATGCTAAAAAAACTTAAATTACAATAATTCTAGGTCATAAAGTATAAATGAATAGCTATAAAATATGGAGACTTTTATATAAAATAAATTGTTACAAATATCAATTTTTCCGAGTCGATTATTGATGCAAGAAATAATGTGTAGTTTTTACTTTATCAAATGCATTTCATGCAAATTGCAATGATCAAAAATATTCACAAATTAAAAAATGAAATAAATTTCGTTTTAATATTCCATTACTCATTTCAAAATTTTCCGAAAATAGAATTGTTGATAGCAGACACATATCTCCAAACATTGGCAGTACCATGTAACAGCAATAAAATGCATTGAAATTTTTAGCATAGTTTTTAGAATAAAAAATAAAAAAGAAGAATATTTTACCTTTTTAGTAACACAAAATTCTTTATGAGTTACTGTTCCTATTATCCATCTCTGTGACTCTCCCGCTGTTAAAAATAATTTTTGAATGTAATAATAAAAAGCAACAGAATAACAATTATCAGCAGAAATACATTATACAGCAACAATATACAATTTCAAAAAATTTAAACAAACCAAACTTACGACTCTTTAGATCCAAAGAAGCAATGCTATCTGAATGAAGAAAATGAAGATAGTTCCCCAAGTGAAATATAATGTAATGCTCTAGCTTATCTTCATAGCACACAAGTACAGTTTCTCCAGGTTCACATCTAATTCAAATTAAAGAAACAAATTAATTTCAAACGTAAGCAAAGCTTGGGATATGAGATGGAGAAATTCCATAACAAAATATTTAATTTCATGCCTTTACATTTAATGGTTTGTAATGATAAAAACAAGACAAATATAAAAATGCCTTTTCTTTCTTTATAGTTTGTCTGTAGTGAGAACACCCCTTGTCACGAAGTCTAAGGCAGTATGCGGCAATGGCAACAAGAAATATCGCCTTATTAGAATTGTTAAGGGAACTTCCCTCTTTCTCAGTTCCCTTTCTTTCGCTGACCTGAGCAAAAACCTGTCTTAACCTCTTCATTACCCTGATTCACATATTCGCTTCTAAAAATATGCTATAAGAAAATTTAAAGTTTTACCCTCACTAAAACATTCGTCAACGTTTAAGCTTTCTGGCGATTGCAATAGATGCAGAGCATGTAAATCATTTGGATAGAATTCTACATAAACAAAAGTGATTTTTGAAAAATGATGCCAAATCCTTGTGCTCAAAAAAGTAAGTAATTTTAAATATTATATAATTTAGTTATTCTGGAAATAATTTTTTTTTACTTAGTAATTTTGTGATTTATATGAAGTTTTTAAATTTATGTTTATTTAATATTGAGAAATATTACAGTCAAGAATATGAAGCTGCGTGTATATGTATCTTAGTACATAAGGTAAAATATATGACAGTGTAGTAGTCAAGTGAAATCTCATAGTATTATGAGAATTTAATTTTATATCTATTTAGTAGTAATTGTATTTGCATTGTAATTAACTGTTTTATACACACATACATTTAATAACTTTAACTTTATGTGTTTTTTCCATGATTTTGAAACATTGCTCCTAAAAATTAAGTATTTATAATTAATGTTAGATTCTGATCAATAATTATTTATTTTGGGTGGTTTGCATAATTAACATAGCTTAATATAATAGCTTTTATATTATTTATTTAGTAATATTTTTATATGTATTTTAATTAATTGTTTTTTAACATAGTACATACATTTAATAACTTTAATTTTTAGTGTTTTCTTCCATAATTTTGATATATTACCCCCAAGAATTAAGAATTTTTTATAATTAATGCTAGATTTTTTTCCAAAAATTACTTATATTGTATGGTTTGCATAATTAAAATAGCTTTGAAACTGAGATTGAATGCAGTATTGCATTAAATCTCATTCAGCATGATTATCTCATTAAAAAATAAAACTTAGTATTTTTATTTTAAAAAAATTCTAATTATTAAATATATTCATTGTTGTATTTAAATAGCTCATAATATAACAATATGCATATTTGTTCCTACTTTAGGTGCAATTTAACATTTGAAATATTTTTATTATTTTGCTTATTGAAAGCCTGAGGTCCACGTATGTGTACCTAAAATTATTAGTTTCATGCTTAATTTTTAATCCGTCTTACCTGTAAAGCTTTGTTGCACCATTTTAGAATGAATAATAATTACATTTAGGCAAATAGTTCATTTTAAATGACTTTTTAATTAAAAAAAATGTTTTAAAATATGGTTACCAGTTTAGAACACTATTTATTCAAAACTAAGCATAACCTTATTCCATCCTCATTGGCTTAACAGTCCCTTGAGGACAAGAGCCTACCTCAGAATAGCCTTCCGTTCCTCATGTTTTTGAGCATTAAAGTACCAGATTTTAATTTGTTTATATCATCCACAACACCATCCAACCATCTTTTCTTTGATCTTCCACGTGGTGTAGAGTCACCAGGTTTTGAGTCAAAAACCTTTCTCGCCACTCTGTTAGTGTTCATAAGCTGAACGTGACTCAACCATTCCAGTCTTATTATCTTAAATGTCAGAAACTATATCACTGTCTTAATATTTTTTCAATATCTCCAATTTATAATATTCCACTATCATTGACAAGATCAAAAAATTTTCTCGATAACTCTCTTGTCCAGAGTGACAAATATTTTTGTATTTGAGCCCAGGATTTACTTCCATATAGAAAGCCCAGGCTTGAGAAAAACCATACATATTATTTTGCTTTTAAGTGATAATATGGCCTGCTTATACAGTTCAAGTTTTTAGAACCAGATTGATTAAAATTGATGGAAACTTGTTTTTCTTGGAGCTTGGATTGTGTAAACAATCATTCAAGTTCTGATTACAAGCCCTTGGATAATAGTATAGCATATTCTACTTCCCATCCAAATTTTTCTTCTCTTAACCCATCAGCTTTTAAAATTTCATGACGTCAAAGATTGGCCATATGATCACTTCATTTTGCTGTCCATTTTCATACATTCTGACCTAAGTAAATTAATATGTTAGGATCCATTTGTGTTGTTATGATTATATTTTGCAATTTCGTCATTCATGTAAGTCTGATTTTATAATCGTGAATGTGACCAATGCACATACACCGATTTTTCATCTAACCAATCAGTGACACTCGGGAACTTGATACTGTCAACGAATCATTCAATTTCAAGGACAGAGAAATTATTCTAATTTCTCGAATTCAAGAACTTGAATTTTATGAAGCAGCCTTCATTCCTGAGAGGAATCTCACAATATTGTACTTGAAAAAGTACAATATTGTGTGTACTTGATATAAGAAAAAGATTGATAGGTTTTGAAAACGGAACTCTTTTTTCAAAAACAAAAGCAGCGAAATTCACTTCAATGTTATAAATTCATCACGAAACATGAAATCAATAAGCTTTAAATACTTACGTTAAAATGGATAGCTTATTGGAACAATGGACACAAGGTGTTCTACTAATGCTGGCACTTGAACTCATCTAGAACAAATTAGTTTCATTAGCTATTTATAAGTTTCTAAAGAACATATTTAAATTTTAAAAAAAATGACTAAATTCTTATATGAATTAAATTATTTTTTACAGAATAATAACCACTAATCTTTAGCTAAGATAATACTAAAATGTACTACATAAGAAACTCACTATACTATCAAGAAAGTTAAGAGAAAAACATTATTTATAACAGTTTTTACCATTAAGCATTTCAGAAAATATTTAAAAATTAAACTTCCATTTTTAGCTCATTTTAAGTTAGTTTTTTTAAAAATAAACTTTTTTTTTCATTTATTATTAATGTTAGTTCTTGAGATATAAGAGAAATCATTAGCAGAAAAAGAATAAAATAATGCATTTAATTTTTTTAAAAAAATTGCATAGGTTTGATTTAATTTTTAAAAACTAAAGAATTCTGAATAAGGAATTTTACAATAATGAGATGCAAAAATTATTTTGCATACATTCAGAAAAAAATTAGGAATCAAATTAATTATAATTTAGCTCTCTCTTATATCACATATAAGGGGAAAAAATTACTGGCATTTTATGGATTAGTAATTTATGCAGGCTATCATAAAAATTTTAAAATATTCTAAATTCTAAGTCTTCAATTTCTTATATATTTCCAGGTAGGTAAAATGATATTTAAAATTTGTTCATTTGTAAAAAATCATGATGCTAATAAAAATTTGAGGCATAAATTAAAATTTAAAAACTACTAAAACAAAAACTGAAAAATTGAAAACTCATTGGATAGCTTTTCCCCTCAAATTTTTAAAAAGCTCATTTTTTCCCTTTCTGTTGAACTATTGATACTCTGTTTTCTTTTATTGAAATACATTGCGACCAAATATATTATAGTTTTGCCAAAAACTTTTTCAATGAGACCATAGAGAAATATAATGACATAAATACAAGTTAAACAATTCTTTTGAATGCTATTATATTAAAATATATACTGATAAAAATATACAAATAATTCTACTTCTCTAACTGGAAAGTATAAAACATAATGAAATAAAAGTATAAAATGCTAATCAGTTTCTATTATACAGAAAAATGAACTTCAAATATTAAATAAATAAAAGGAAAACAACGATCATCATTTTTAACAATACAATAAAGTAAAAGGATATAAAAGTGATACTCAATTACAGATGACTAAAAAGGTTTAACCTACAAATGTCCTATATTACTAATACTAGAGAGATGTATCATATCTTTATTATTTAATTGACTCTTATAAATCTCTAATTATTCCAATTACAATGAAATATTAATATATGAATATTAATATATTCCAATTACAAGGACATTCCTCAACGAACTTTTAGTTAGATGATTGAAGGTCATTTGAGGAACAAATTTGGTAAATCAGGCCGCAAACTGGGCACCCCTAATATAAACTCTCAAGCGATAGACTTCAATAACAATGCAAATATAAGTTAGTGTAAAAAAAACTATATTTTGTGGGTGCTTTACAGTAATAGCTGGTGTGTAATATGGTAATATATAAATTTTTGAACAGCTCACTTTTTTGTGCTGTAAAACACTTGATACTTAGTTTGCCATTAATGAAATACATTAAAAGCAAACATTTTGAATAAAATTTTTAAAGATCACTAAAAACCATGACTAACCAAATATTCTATTAACCCCTTAACTGCCGAGTAAAATTAACGTGATTCACTCCTCAGCGCCACCGTTTTTCACTCAAGTGCACTTTCTTACACGGTGTTTTGGTGGGAAAAAATGATGCACGCTTTGCAATTTAAAAACAGTTTACTTTTACAAGACAAGAAAAAGGAAAGAAAGAAAATACAAAATTAAAATTAAATAATAAAAATACAATATAAAAGATGTTAAAACTTAGCTGTTGTATGATAAATCCTGAAACATGGTTGGGCGCATAAGCCAACATCACATTCATCGCACTGATAGCGGGATTCACAACGAATTTTTTTTCTTGAACAAACAGCACATTTTCGCAATGCATTTTCTTTGAAGACGTTGATGAAAAGAATAGAAAAGCACCAAATACATACGGGAAACGAAAGCGAAAAAAGAATAAACCCAACCTTACTCAAATAAATACACACAAGCGATTAATACGATATCACTTTTCCATAACATCCTTTTCCCATTCCCCCTCCTCCGAAATTAGTAATACATTCGCAAAGCAAACACTTTCAAGGCCATTTTACTGCATTCTGAAGTAGGGGGTGTAGCTCTATTTATAGCAGCGCAATGCAAAGCATCGTACTTCGCGAAAGCGTACATATACGCCTGCGGCAGTTAACGCATCGTCTGGCCGAGACGTATAAATACGCCCGCGGCAGTTAAGGGGTTAACACATAGTAAACTTCACAAGACAGACCACACATATTTTTAGAGAAATAAGTTTATGCAATTCAAAATGTTCACTAATACCCTAATTTACATTTGTTCACAGTAATAAATAAAATTAAGTAAGTTTAACAAAGAATTTAGACACTTACAAATTTTGATAAAAGGCCACTATATTCTTCTTCTTTTATTTTAAGTTTCTAAAACATTGAAGTAAAATTAGACTTAGGATGAAAAATTGAGAGTTGAAAAATTGAAAGAAACAATGTATAAATAAAAAAGACACATAAATGAGGAACATATAACACAGCTGCCAGCATGAAAAGGAAAAAATCCAGTAGATTTTACGAAATAATACAAATGTGTCATAACATACCAAATATTTTACATATAGGGAATTTGACGGACTTTACTGTCATCAAAAAATGCTTTTTATTCTGTTAACTCATAATTTTGAATAGAAATGAACAAGTAACTTATTATTTATCGATAAAAAAAATAAAATTTTTTTAATTAATTTAAAAAGGGAGTTCTGAATGAAAATAAACTGAAAATTTTGGAACAAGAAAAAAGAAAGAAAAGCTGTTAACTGCTTACTACAATTGAGGCTCGTTTAATTATGTATTAGTAATATTTATTAAAAAATCAAGCAAGCAATGAATTGTGTAAAAATTCCATTTCAATGGGAATTTTTTTTTAAAATTTATTTAGGTTTTGTGAAATTTTCTAAAATGTACAAAAACCAAGAGAACTTTATTCAACCAGTAGAAACTGGTAAAATCGAGTAGAGTTGGCAGCTATGATATAAGTGCAATATAGTGCTTTGCTTGTAATATTTAAGTAAAAATAAATTAGTTAAAATCAAGCAAATCAAAAGCATTTTTTAAGCTATTACCTTTCTTAAGCTCTCATAGGAATCAGAAGAGCTGCGTGTTTGTTGATATGGTTTTTTCCTAAGAAAGAAATGTTTAATATTTATAACACATTTATGAACAATTGTTTTAAGTCAAAAATATATATGTCACTTATATGTCTACTTATTTTTGCTTATCAATATATTTAATTATCACATTCATTAGTTCCTTTTTCTAGCAAAAACCAAAACAATTTCAAAAATTGGACATTCTATTTAAAAATAGTCTATTCTTTTTCATACCCATTCCCTTTTCTTCTATGGGTGGTTGACCGTGTAAAGAGGGTTAAAATTTATGGAAAGACTTCTATGCTACTTCTTTCGACTGATTGTTACGTCTGAGCTTGAAAAAATGCACCATCCAATATTATTATACTTGTAGTGTTTTCAATATAACATGTTCCTTCAATCTAACTTTCAATGAAACAAGCAGCAAATGATTTCAGAAGACTCCGCAAGCTATGATGCTACCCAAAAAATAGCTAACGGTGCTATTTCACACAAATATAGCCAAATAAGGGATAACACTCAAAACATGTCCAACCTTGCACTTTTTTTATGCTGTGATATTAATTTTGCTAAATTAGTTTCAGGATCACGACTTGCTAGAATTTATAAATTACAGAAAATTCTTATGCATGGTAAAATTACATGTAAATTGAAACACAAATCACAATAATAAAACTTCCTGGAATATTAAGCCTATTCACACATTGCCTCATAAGCGCAACATAAACGGAGGGATACACCAGGAATTTTCTAAATTTCTTTCACTTTTAGGAAGCTTGTTATTGTTTACATTCAGTCAAGTATTCATTAATTATATAGTATATAATTTGATAGCATTCACTAACAAAGTAAAAAATGTAGAGATCCTTAGTCGAATCATGAGATATATAGGTTTTGAATATTAGATAATTTGTGGACGGAAAAAGATATCTTTAATTATACATGAAGGGTTTATATTCAAAAAATTTAAATGTGTTTGTGAGCCATCAATTCACAATAGTTAAGGCACTGTGTTTTCATTGCGCATGACCACAATTCAATTACCAATGACAGCTCTAAGTCCACCAATATGCAATTAAATCACTATGCACCAACTTGTCAAAGAAATAAAGATAGCCAGTGTGCAATGTTAACTGCATTATTATCATCATGCCATTGATCTCAAAATTCAGAAGACTTAAACTCTATAACCAACTTAACGGACAAACTGACTGTTGTCTGAATATTTATGGGACATGGGAACTTTTCAAAGTTGCTTCCATAACACGGTTAGCAAGTCTGGTTTTAATAAATAATTTAACAATTTAAAAATATATAGAATCAATTCCTGTTTTATGTTTGTAAATAAACCCAGTTTGCATAATCACAAAAATAAATATTGTGCTTCTACTAAGTATGAATGCTTTCAATTCAGTGTAGGATATGTAGCAATTCAATTTTTATCTTCCTTATTCCTTTAATTAAACTTCCTATAACAAATCCATCTACTAGTTTAGAGTTAATTTTTCTTCATAAAAATATTTTTAGACTTTTTTATGTAATAAGAAAACAGCATATTTCTTATTTGCACAAATAAACAGCCAACTAAAATATATTTTAATAAAAAATATGGATTTTAAAAAGAAAGAAAATTGAAAATAATTACATGCTTTCACATATTTAAAGAATATATAATACTTTGGCAAGCTATGTATTTGTTTACTAAATATTTTGCCTGTACATATTTTGCAAAAAAAAAATTTTTTTTAATTATTTTAATTATAAATTTATAATGTCTAATAATCTTACAATTCAATAACAATTGTAATGCCATTATAATTGCATATTTGAATTGAAAATTCCAAGATTTCAACTTTAAATTCTACAATTCAACCTACATTATTTTAAATCGCACATAAGTACTACTTAAATTCATACTTACGTTGTATCAGTCAGTTGTAATAAGGCTTCAACATCGGTTTTGAATTTATTAAAATAAAAGAGTTCATCTGCACTTCTTGCACAAGCACTATAATGTAAATTAAAGCACATTTAAAATAAAATTCCTATAAATAATCAAAATATAAACTATTTAACCATTTAAAAAAAAGTAATTGCAACTCAAATTCCTCATTATTGATAAAATTTATTATACATCGAAGAAAACCAATTTCTGTAATGACATATGTTTATATGACAATGTAAAGTACATATGTTAAGAATATAATTTAATTATAACTGGCGATAATTACTTCATTGCAGTAACTATGTTACAATGCAGAGTGGAATCCTTTCAATATTAAGCTTCTTAAATAGGGGATTAAAAAATAACCTTTCATGACACGTGACTTCCTATGAGCATAACATTTATGAAAATAGAATAAAATTTTGTATAAATTTACAAAAGAAGATCAATAAACCGCAATTCACATAACCAGATTAACTTAGCAATATCTAAAGCAAAGCAAAATTGATGCATTTAGGTTTTTAGTTCCTCTGCTCTTGATAATTTAAATTTTTTTTCTGAAAATAATAAATACTTAAGTGCAGGCATAGTTAACTTTAAAACAGTTATATGATATTCTACCTTGTGGCTCCAGTTTCACTTTGAGTTATAACATCTTCACCAATTATAGGAGACAACGAAGGTCGGAACTGATCTAAATAAGCTGCAAATGAGAAAAGATTTATAATCCAGTCTAGATACGTATTAAAATGAACTATATTAAAGTATAAATATGACATTTTTTTTGGAAGCTTTGAGAAGAAAATATTAAAAAGTGATTGCAACTATATATATATATAAAAAGGGATGACCCTTGATTATATGCTATTTTCCAAAACAAGTCAAAATTTTGCTGCTACCACCCCCTAATGATGTTCCAAACAACAAAAATACTGGTTGTGCAAAATTTCACTTGTGATCTTCATCAAGATACAAAACGATCCTCACTCGCCTTGAAGTTGGAACACTTATTGAAAAATTTAAAATTTATATTCTTTTTTTTCCCAATAATACATCACTTTTACAACAGAACCACAATGAAAACTTNATAACTTTATTGAGAACAAAAACACATAAATACAAAACACTTATTGAAAACTTATTGAGTTGGAACACTTATTGAAAAATTTAAAATTTATATTCTTTTTTTTCCCAATAATACATCACTTTTACAACAGAACCACAATGAAAACTTTACATAAAATCTAAAAATTCAACATTTTTTTCTTCTTTCTGAAAATGAAATTAGTATGTTTGACTATGTTTAGCATAAATATATTGTTTATTTTCATTTTTTTCAGAAAATATTATTGTATTCTCGCATTAGTCTTTCGGCATCATTCACAACTACAGCTTATTTTTTTCATTCCCCTTTTGTACTCTGGATTATCTTCACATATTGCAACAAAAAAAATAATAATTGGTAATAAAAAAAATTCATTAAAAATTTTTTTTGTTGTTGAGAGATTTAAAAGCGACAGAGAATCATGGTTAAAAGAAAAGTCCTTTTAGTACAAAATAAATCTCTTTTAATGAATTAGTTCTTCATCATCATTGCATCAGTCTGCCAACTTAACTTTAGCCATATTCGTCAAAGATTTGTTGCTTAAACATACTTTGTGAACTTTGAAGAAAAAAACTTAATTTTATACAACAATACGCATCCATAAAAATTTATTAGCTCTTTTGTTTTTAAAAATCGAAACAAATGGAAAATTATAATAAAGCTAAAAGAATTAATTATCATATAACATTCAAAATTATCAAATACATTTTTAATATAGTCATTAAATTCAGAAAGCGTAAAAAAAAGTTTTTTTATTCTAAATAAGATTAGAAAAACACATAATAATTTTTTCCCTTCAAAAATCTAGTAAAGTTAAGAGCAAAACTAAAATTTATAAGAACATAACACATAATTTCATTTGCTGCAATCATTTTATTGATTTACTCATTGCTCACTTATTAAGTTGTGCTTTAGATCACTATCTTTAATTATAACCGGAATTACTCTGAATAATCCAACGTAACTGAGATGAAAGCAATACGCTTTTATTAAATATTATGATTGAAAAATAAACTTTTTCAACATACTTTTGAGCGCAATTTGTTTAGCTTCCAATACTGATATAGAGGAGCGCAAATTTTCAATAATTGCATCCTTCTCCTTGGCTAAACTGTTAATTGCTTCATTAAATGATACCTGAAATAAGGCACACATCAATTTAATAAAAAAGTTCATGTAACAACAACAAAACACAATATTTAAAGAAATTAACACAATAATTCTGCATGTTTAACGAATAAAAGATGTATCATTAACAAATTTAAAAAATAGTTCATTATTTTCAAAAAGTCACACATTGGAAGAACAGTAATCTGGTTTTTAACTTTATCAGAAAATTTAAAATAAGGATTTATTAGGAAAACTTCAAAATATACTACAAATATGAGTATTGTAAATAAAGTAGAGTCGACATAATCCATATAGTCATAGAAGATTGGGGATAAGATCATGCTGTTGTCGATTTTCTATTACTCTAAATCTTGATATCAGCTGCCATAAATTGAATCGAGATTGTTAATTTTCAAAATGCATTTGAATGCAATAAAGAATATCATAATCATTATGGAAAGTATATGTTGCTGTATAAGATGTATCTACAGTAAGTAAAAGCAATTTGTGCATAGCATAGTTTAATTTTCTAGCTTGGCATCAGCTTGAAGCAGTAGTGCACTCAGTCGTAACTAACAATGACCTATATTTTACCAACAGAATAAAACTTTGGCGATTATATCAAAGTTATGAATTACAATTTTACACCTTCAATCCATGCTGTCTTTACTTTATTTACAACTCTCATATTTGAACTCACTCATCAGCTTTTTAAAAATTCCTTTGATCAGCTTTACATAAAAATTCTACTTTAAGATCTGAAAAAAGATTTGGGCACACTTGTTCAAGTTTAAATTAAGAAAAAAAATTTACATATATTACTAGTTTTTATTTGCATTCATACTTTAATTTTCCTAATAGATGATTTGTTGAATTTGTTATCAACTTGTTTTCCAAAATTTATATTTATAGATATCGTATTGAACCCTTTTTCATATTTAACAAAATTTTATTATTTAAATGTCAAAAAAAAATTTAAAAAATTAAGCTTGATATCCTGACAATACACAATCACAATAACAAATACTAATGTTGCAACCTTTCCATCAAATTTTGAAACAGCCTCAATAAATATCTGGAAGAAAAAAATTTTGAAACCTAAAACCCAGTTCTAGCAGAATTAAATTTAACTTAATAATGCCTAAAAAATTTTTAATTGTTGAATACGTTAAAACTAGATATGATTTAATTATTAACTATCTTTATACTCAATAATTCACTTAATGAAGTCTATCATTCTCTTTGCAGCATTTTACATGGATTAAAATTAACAAAAACCAACTAAACAGCGTTTGATTACAAAGAAGAGCACAATTACACAGCAGATAAAGTATATAAATGAGTAAGGATAAAGAAGCAGAATAAGGATGTGTTTTATAACAGTTTTCATGCAGCAGTATTCCTAATGAAATCTTTTGCAAGAAAAATTTGAATTTTTAGTAAAAAAATGTTATTTTTATTTATAAACAGATCTTTTTTTTAAATACATTGAACTTCAATTAATTATTTCAAGTCTAAATTTTTACTATAGATAGTTTAGATTTTATTTTAGAGTACAAAACAGTCAAATTGCTGGAAAAAAAGTTAAATGTATTTAGTTAAATTGAAAATACCTGGTTTTCTGCAGTTATACGTGATTTGAGTTTTTCTAAAGCATTCTCGTGTTTTGATCGCATTGCAGCAATAATCTGCACCTTCTCTTCTTCATGTTTAAGTTGAGACTCTTCAAAAGATTCTTTCAAGGCATTAAGTTCTTTGGCGTGTTCCTCTTTGGCTATGTTTAATTTAACAGATTCCCATTTTTCTCGACTTTCAGCTATGATTTTTTGTAATTCCTCTAAGCATTCAAGAGACTAAAACAAATTTGTTCTAATTATAGCCTCATATTACAATAATTTCAAAGCAAATAATGCCTTGGAAAATTGAATTCGACATAAAAATTAACAAAAGAAATACTGGGACTTCAATTTCCTGCAACTATTTCCATTCAATATTACAATTATTACATCACAATTGCAGACGATAAAGAAAGTCTTCATAGCAACAACTTAGAAAAAAAATAACAGATGATTCTGCTTAATATAGTATCTACTTTAGACATTTTCTCCAAACTATGACACATTCCTATTTTTTTCTTCTTTTTCTTTAGCATCATGCGCTACTGTTTTTCTTTTCCTAACGAAAAAACTTAATTTTTTTTAAAATGGAATTTCTGAACGACAGAAGCAAGCATCTGCTAATTTTACAAACGATCTAAATTGGTATTATTAACATTATAAGAATAGCATTTGAGACAGGACCAAAATTTTTGGGAAACTGTGACAGAACTATAATTTTTGGGCGAGATTACTTTTTTGGGGGGTTCAAAACTAGCTTTTTGCTAATTTTGCACGTTTTAATTATTCAAAATTTTACAGATCATATATCAGGTATGTAATATTGTCACTAAATTTTTTTCACATATTTCTGAGCATGAGCAATAAGGAGACCTTCATTGTGAATGCAGATTAATTATTATTCCTAATACTCTACTAATTTAATACAGTTATAATGTCACATTATAATTTTACTATTTTCTATGTTTCAAAAAATATCTAAAGGGAAATACAAAACAAATTTTCAAAATTTAAATTTATAAAAAAAACAGTTTTGAAACTTTTTAAAATTAGCTTCTAAAATATGTTTAATATTTAACTTAAAACTAAACCAACATTAACCATCAACATTAGTTGCCACTCCAAAATATATTTGCAATACTTATTCATATTTGTTTTTAAATTATTGGAAATTGTTACTTCACTTCATCTAATTATAATTGTTATTGAAAAATAGGTTATACATGTATTTTCTAAATTAGTATAAAATTTATTTTCAATTTATCATCATTTTCAATTTATCGCTAAGTTTATGTTTATTGTTACTTTCTATTCAGTGATGAAAAATGTATTTCTGAAATTTTTTTAAACCGTATTTATTTTAAGCTCTTCCTTATTACATCTTTTTTAAATTATGAGGCTTTTACCAGAGTTCATTAGCTTTGTTGCCAAAACCTAAAAATCGAATTTTGGATCACCAAGAGCAAAATAAATAATGCAATACTTGATTTTTTCCTTAAAGGAAACTCAAGACCTAAACTAATTCTAGTTTTTATTTATTCCTTGTCATGCAAAAAAAAAAAAACTCTTAAGTATTTTAAAGAAACATATTAGAAGAACACAGAATTTTTGAAGTTACAGCATGATAAACAGAATGCTAAAAGAAACAATAGAAACACTGATTAAGAATGAAAGGAGATTGGATGACAAACAACACAAGTCACAATTTACTTAAACATCTTCACGACACCTTATTATACTAAACAAAAAAAATTTAGTTATAAAAATAAAAACTTCCTTTTATTTGGATTTGAATAATCAAATATAAAATTTTAGTACTTTTGCACCCTATTTCAAAAACAATCCTGATTGTAAAGTAAATCAGTAAAAACTTGCGAAAGGTATAATATATCTAAAATAGTTTTTTCTTATTATTATTAAACCCATTACATAAAAAACCAACCTGAAATTATACATTAAGTAAAACAGTTTAAAAAAATATATGTAGACTGCTTAATAGTCTCAACTACGGACAATTTGCAGAAATTCGAATCTGGCAGAACTGGGGGGGGGGATTTATTAATTGGAAGTTTAACTTACAATTAGTTTCAGTTTCTGGCTTTAAATTAACAATATGAAGTATAGTATACACTATAATAAATAGTATAACAAATATAATATCTAGTAACAAATAAATTTTTTTCCAAGTGATTTTTATCACAACAATCAATAGGGTTCTAAGATCACTATTAAATATTATAATCTTAAAAAATATTTCGTACTAGAAGAAGCTTAGAGAAATTTTAGATCTCAGAAGATAAGTATACACATGAAGTATCTTTTGTAAAGTTTCTTTCCCTTAAACTAAAATTTTTTAAATGTTTAATTTTTGTCATTTACTAGAGATTTTCGACAATGAATTAGAATTTAATTTCTTTAAGTATAGTTAAGATCCCCCAGATTTCTCCACATCATCAAAATTAAACAATCTGAACTACCCCTTGTGAGATTTTCTTGTAATATTTAAACAGCTCTTTATGAGACAAAATATTAAATAAATTTTGAGAACATGATAAAGGTTTTTGTATTAATGAATGTGAATTTAGCATCGCCCAAAAGAAGGAATTTTTCAAGTTCACATAACAACTTAAGTCTAAAAAAAATTTTAAATAAAAGCTTTTGTAAAAATTATAATTGTATAAAGAATTCAGGAAGTAATTTTAAGCATCTTGAAATGGTTTCCTAAATCCTAAAATATTTTTAAATAATTCAATTTTGATGCCAAAAAGGAGCAGACTTAGAACATTTTTGTGTAAGTATAAGTTTATTGTATGATAAAATTGTGAAAGTGTTTATTGTTACATATTAAAAATGCTTTTTACCATTCCATTAGTATAAAAATAAATATTTCAGTATTTTTAAAAATAGCTAATAAATTGATAAATTCTCAGAACTTAAACTTCCACTCCCCTCTTACATGACGCCTGACACCAGGCTTATGATGTCACAAAATTAAAAACACCTGTTTTTTCATCCCTGAATCTACTAAGCAGCTTTTAGGCAATTGTTGTCAGGTAAAGAAAACTTTAAGTCAAGCTGGAATTCAGGGATATGGTGATTAGTTCTTAATGTAAAATGGTTATTTTTGCCTGCCATGGCAAGGCATCAGGTATGTCACAATGGTGCAAATTGAATGACACATATTTCAGGCAAGTGACAACAAAGTACATCTTTCACTAACCTATTTTTAGCACTCATAAAAAGGGGGTGCTAGGGCACTCAGTTAAAATTCTAATGATTAATACTAAAAATAAATCAAATGAGCAATATACAATAAACATTTGGAAGTCAATTACTAAAAAGTATCAATAAACTAGAACATTTTATATGGTTTACCTCTGTATCACCAAAATCAGGAGAACTTGAAGACGGAAGTTTTTCCAGAGAGGTCATGCTAACTGCTAATTTAAAGCGAGACCTGAGAGAGTCTAAATCATTTTTATGTTTGACGCTCAATTTCTCCTCTAAATCCTTCAATTCATTTGTTTTCATCTTCTCCATCTCATCTTTACATTTTTGTAGCTCCTCTTTAGCATTTTCCAGCTCCTAATATAATCATTTATTTTCAATCAATTTTGATTAATAAAAATGGAAAAGTATTAAATTTGAAAATAACAGTAATGGAAGGGTTGCTATACTAACACATCGGCTGATAAGTTTCCGGTCTGACATACAGGTGGTGCCCTAAATGCAGAATTAGTATTTTGTTTAGCAAGTCCTAACCTTCAAATAAAAAGGTGTCAAAATTTTATAACGATCTGTAGATTGATTTTAAAGTTACAGTGATTTTAATCGAACACCAATTTATATTATTGAAACAATGGATAAAAAAGAATTTCGTGTTCTTATTAAACATTGTTATTTAATGGGGAAAAACTCGGTAGAAACTAAAGCTTGGCTCGATAAGTGTTATCTGGGTTCTTCAGCAGGAAAATCGATCATTATTGACTGGATTGCTGATTTTAAACGTAATTGTACAAATGTTGAAGATGCGCCACGCTCTGGACGCCCTAAAGATGATGTTAATCCGGATAACATAATTAAAGTCCACAAAATTGTTATAGAAAACCGCAAAGTGAAGTTGCATGACATAGCCGATACTCTAAATATATCAAAAGAGCGTGTAGGTTTTATTTTGCAAGAACATTTGTTTATGAGAAAGCTGTTTTCGAAGTGGGTGCCACTTATACTTAACAGTTGACCAAAACAACAACGAATTGATGATTCCGAGAGCTGTTTGACATTGTGTCAGACACCCCTTATTCACCCGCACCCACCCTGTTCACCAGATTCGACTCCTAGTGACTTTTTCTTGTTTGCAGACTTGAAAAAAAATTTCACGGGTAAGAGATTCAGCACGAATGAGGAAGTGATTGTCAAAACAAACGCCTATTTTGAGGCCAAAGATTAATATCACTGTAACTTTAAAACCAATCTACAGATCATTATAAAATTTTGACACCTTTTATTTGAAGGTTAGGACTTGCTAAACAAAATACTAATTCTACATTTAGGGCACCACCTGTATGTCAGACCGGAAACTTATCAGCCGGTGTGTTAAGGTGTTCGTAAAAGAACAACCCCTTAATACTGTGACCCTTTCATTATAACTAATAAAGAATACTATTATTTTCCATTCTATAGAATGCTTTTCTTAAACCTGAGAACTTAATTATCAATTCCAATATATTGGTCTAAATAAAAGTTCTGAGTTTTTTATTTTTTTATTTACAGATATTACCCCTTTAAAAACAGATTTTTTTTCCTACTTTATATTGAAAAGTTAATTACTTAATAGTAAATGTTTAAAACGAATTAGAATAACAATTATTTCACTAAATACTATTACACGATGGCAAAACATCTTGAGTTATTGGTGAAATTGGAAAGTATGACAAGGTCTCTCAGCTGGCAAGACAAACAGCTATTAAAAGAGGTGAGGTAATGAAATATCAATCAATAACAGTAATGAATACTCTTATGAAATACTTTGGTATACTAACTTAGATGAAACAATAAAAACATAACACCATGCGTAAAATCAAAATTTTACTGCTAACAACAACAAAGTTAGAGCTTTATTCTTTAGCTTGAATATTTCACCTTTTTTTTCTTATGAAATTTCAAGTTTAGATTGAGAACTCCTTATTTTTAATTGATGCATATTTGATATAACATTTACACATACTATTCTATTTATGTTACTGGGGCTGTAAAAAAAGGATTAACTATTATTGGCACTACTGATGCTGAATAGGTATCACTGGTATTGTATTGTGGTAATAGGAAAGAGTAATAGATACTTAATATACTAAATTATTGCTGTAATAAAATTTTTACAGCCCTCGAAAAAACCGGCCTGTTTTTCGAATTTCTTAATTATTAATATATATAAAAAACATCTTATAAATTTAAATTTGATTCACAATGAAGTCTTAGTTCTATGTTATCTTTCTTACACTTAAGCATTATACGAATAAAAGTGTTATATGATATGATAAGATGACTAAAAGAATTTTAGACAGGATGGTTCACACCATAGTATAAGCCATAGTCTCCTAAACCATGCCAACCCTGTTAGGTTTACAATAGTTATTACAATACATTTGGAATGAGTAACACCTGGAGGGATTGAGAGGAAAATGGTATTTTTACACATTTCCAGACTGCTTTTCTTAAGAGGGAGCATCCCGAATAATCCCATCCTAGATAATTGAAAGCTTGTCTAAAAAATCTAGATCATGAATAGACAAAATGAAAAAAAGTAGAAAGTCCTAAACATATGTTTCTTAAATATATTTATCATTCTTGTACATTTAGAACACAAAATTCGCTTAAATATTAAGTGTTTATACACTTGTCGAATATAAAATTTCTACTAACTCTAGCATTGTGAGATAAAGTCTAGTCTCAATGTCACAAGCTTTAATAACAAATCTCTTGATGATTCTTGATTTCATAAAATATTGTTTTATTACCAAAAATGTTTTTTTTCCCTCCTTATTTTTGAAGCATTCAAAATACTTGCTTGAAGTCTTTTAAGACTTTTCTTCAATAATTTTGAGAAACATTTTCAGTAGCTATAATAAAATAGAGATTTATTGAAAAATTGCCTGAAATATTCATTCCTTAAGAAATAGATGTGAGAATAGATGAAATTAGCCATTCTTAAGATTCAAAAGATTTGCTAATTCAAAAAATTCAAAAGAAATTAATATTTGTGAGGATGCAGTTTCTGAAGACAATAATCTTGAAGTGTGTAGTGATTGAAAATAAACAAAATATTAAGAGATTATAGCATCAAGAAATATATTAAAAAAGAAAGATGATGAAACGAAAGAGTTTCCGCAAAACGCTAAATAAACTGAAGAGGTAAAAATATTGAATTACTTTTTAAGTAACTGTGTTGTACAGCCTTTGAAGTTACTATTAGTTTGACTAAATTTTTAACAATATTTTATCTTGATTAAAATACTCTATTTTTGATGGCACAAATTTTTTAGTCTCTCTTCAAGAACCAGACATTATGGTTAAAATTGTATTTCTTTTTAATTCCTTAATAAATAGATAAAAAAACTAATTAAATTACCTGTATATAAATATTTTTTTCTTTAAGAGCATCATCTAGTTTCTTTTCAAATTCCTGCAGACTTTTTACACTGCGGTTTTCTACTTGCAACCTAAAAAGAAAAATATCTTTTATTCATTTATCAGGTAACTACTGCATACGTAACCTAAACTGCGTTAAACATTTCTATTCATTCTGTTCTAAACTGTGTTATAACATTTGTACCATCAAACATTATCATGACAAAACTCAGCAGTAGAATATTGCTAGGCATGGTTTAATAATATTGATGGATAAATAATATTATTGTAAAGGAAATACATTTAGTAAGAGACAAAAATATTCAAATTCCTAAATGCTTGGCATTTTTTAAAAGTAACTGCCCTTTCACATGAAAAGCTTGACATCAGGCTTTATGCCTGATATCTGGCATAAGAGAAAGCAAAACCTGATTTTTTTTTTACCTCTAACTCTCCTACACTGCTTACCGGTAAGCATTATCGGACGAAGAAAACTCCGAAGCAGGTTGGTATTCATGCACATGATGATTGGCTCTTTGGTATCACATGGTCATTTTTCCCTTATCCTTGCTAAATAAACCTTTAACTTCAGAAATGGTGGCAAACCAATTTTCAGGCCTGTGACATCAGAAGATGTCTGTCTTCAAAACTAGTGTAAATTGGTTGCTAGGTCAGTTAATGATTTTGAAAATTTTTTCCTTGTTTGTTTCAAAATGTTTAAATGTAAATAATGTAGCAAAACTTTTAAGGAATTTCGACTTAACCAAAAAATTGGGCAAGCATCTGAATTATTAATAAAAATTTAAAATTAACCCAATAGGACATTTTAGAGGAACTAATATTGGTTCAAATTGAGCAGTATCCATATTTGAATTAAAAGGTGCAGTCTGTATAATTAAAGAAATTGTTTTATTCCTAATTAAAATCACAAGTGCTACTGGTTTAGCCAAGCACTTTCCAAAAAAAAAAAAAAAAAAAAAAAAAAAAAAAAAAAAAAAAACGATGCTGTTTGGTATCTCTTTTAAAAAATTTATTTACTATGGTTCTTAAGTTGCAAAAGAAAATATTTCCTTTACAATTTTGATTTATTCCAGTATCTTGCTGAACAATTTTTCAAAAATTTTACACTCATACAGTGACTTACACCCTATAATGAAGTTAAACAAAAAGAATTTGATAAAAACCTGTGAAATTCTTCTTTCAATTTATCATGTTGATCTTGCATAGATGATACGATATTATGACGTTCTTGTGATTCTTTCTCAATAACAGTCTTTTCACCTTCCAGTTTAGTCACTTCCAAAATGGCCTGAGAAAGACTCTACATAAAGAAAAAAATATATAAATCAGTGAATCCTTTTATTTTTGAAGTTACATTTTTACCAAAATTAAATTTATTCAAAAACAATATTTTTTTCAATAATAAATACCTTGCATGTTTGTACCTAACTCAATTTAAATAGAATGTATAGTTTGTACCTGTTTCAATTGATTTATTTCCAATTCCTGACTTTGGAGTTGTTCTTTTACAGAATTTTTGAAAGAATCAAACTCAACTTCATGTTCTAACATCATGCGTTGAATTAGCTCTTTCTTTTCCTGAAGTTCAGACTCAAGCTAAGGTAGAATAGGAAAAAATTACAAAATTACATAAATTAAAAATTATATAAATTAAAAATTATATAAATACTGAAAATTTTTAATGCAATATATGTGTTTAGAAGCAATGTTTTATAACTGTTTTGCATTCAGAAATGTAATCAGAAAAATTTTCTGTTCAGGGTCAAATGCTTGAAATGTTGTGATTTAGAGCTGTTAAAGTCCAAGTACAGTTAGGCGATTTGGGAGAATGGCGTAAACGTCAACTGATTACCATGCCCATCTGCCCTTCATTCTAAACTGTGGTAGTATAGAATGTGCATGCTCCAGAATTATCTTTGGATCATCATTAAGAATGAATACCAAATCACTGCCAATAACCCATAAGTGTAGCTCTATTGCTCCAAGAAATTCAAAATACAGGCAACTTTAAAAAATTTTAAGAATCAAAGTTTAATGCCTTCAAACTTAATCCACACGTACCATCAAAGTACATAATACAAAATCAGCGTTTCTTCTATTCACAACAGTACGAAAAACTTAGCAAATGACGTCAGAGTCACTTTATGCATTTCTTCTAGTTACAGTATCACGTAAAATTCTAAAGAATTAGCAAATGATGCTACATTAGCGTACTTTTACAGACAAAAACTAAGATATACTTGAGGGAAACGCTCGCCATCCCTCAATGGATGACAGTATAATAAAATAATGACAGTATAATAAATGACAATATAATAAAATAAAACAAAAATTTAAAATTTTTTAAAAATCTAAACATCTTAATCTTAAGCCTCACAAAACGAAAGCACAGAACAGAAGTTGCAGATCTCTCATTTTTTATAACTTATAAATTTCACATTTGTATACCTCATAACAGAACCTAACGTAAAGTAGTCATAAAGTTTTTGAAAATTTTATCATAAGATCCAAGCCTGCCCGAGCCCAAAACCTTTCTTCAACAAACAAGCTTGATCCTGGGTCGGCTAATTCTATCTCATCTACAGTAGCATAGTACTCAACCACCAACATTTACACCAACAAAATACGAAAAGATTAAGTAATCTACAGTTAAAAAGTTATAAATATATAAACAGTAAATTTTTAGAATCACAATGAAGATTAGATGAAATAAAATGAAGCGTTTTATACACTTTTGTTCTTATATATACAAAAAAAAGTTTCTGACCTATACTACATATGACCCAACCAACTTATATTATGAAAAAACACAAAACTAATTACCATTTCTTTTTCATGTTTTGTTTCCTCGTAACTGTGACGTAAGCCTTTTAAATGATCTTCATAATAAACTATTTGATTTTCAGCATCACTCAGCTTCTGATTTTCAACTTCAAGTTTTCTTAAGTATGAGCTTTCAATTGAGGAAAACTCTTGCTTCATTTCAGATATTGCAGTGTCCTGAAAATAAATTATTTCCATAATAAAAAAAATTTAATAATAAATGAACTTTATAAAAAAAATGCAAAAAATTGCACCACAAATAAAATAAACTAAATAAATATAATTTAAAATATACACACAATACATAAAATATTCATACACATAAAAAAAAAATACAGAGAATCTCTCTAAAACATAAATGGTATACAAGCTAACCAGAATTTTAGCCACAGAAGACTAAAAGGTAATTTTCACATAAATTTAAATTTATAATACTTCAGTTTTGTAGATAAATTATAAAGAAAATAACACTTCAATAAAACATAAAATGTAATGAATTTTGTCAGAGTTAATTTGCTTATTTATATTTTTTTTTTAAGCATGCTTTTGAATTTTTGAGAATATAGAATAGAATTTAATAATATAGAATTTTGGTTACATAATAGATAATGGGAAAATTATGTTGTATGATAGATAAAAAGACAAGAGAAAAAGAAATTTTGCTAACAACTGCCTGATTTTTCTAAACATTCTAAAGCTGATTTTCTTAAATGTATTTAATATGTCAAAAAGTTCTGTTACTAAGTTTAAAAGGACAATAAAATTTCACAAACTACCAAAACAGATTGCATAATTTTTTACATTTTGGTCTTAAATTTTTAGACAAACCTGTACTTAAAATAAACAGGATAAACAAATTAAAAACTAACCTTATCTGAGATCATCTGCTGTTCAACTTTCCCAATATAGGTATTAATATGATCAACAACTTGAGAAACCTCAGCCATTTTATCGCACAAATCTTCCGTCACAGAGGCCTTGAAATTAGAGAAATCACTCCGAAAACTGCCATGAAGCTCCTGAATGAATTTCTGTAATGCAGATAGTTTGGCATGCAGCTTCAGTATATTGGAGTGGGTATTCTCCAGTGAACTCTGAAAGCAGCAATGTCTTTCAGTTGCTACTTCTACTACTACTAATAACATTTGTACCATCANTTCTACTACTACTACTACTACAACTACAAGCACTTTATCATCTAAGCATTCACAAAATATTCATTCAACTGAAAGCAAGCACTAACAATCCAAAAGCATCAACAAAAAAGGAAGGAAGAGTTTTAAAAAAAATAAAGGAAGCTTCAATTCTTTCACAAAGAAATTATACATTGTTTATTCAAAGACGATACGGTACCATCAAATCTAATTATTTTTAAATAAAAGATAACATTCCACTCTGAATTCTCAAAACAAGAATTATTTTAAAACACAATTAATCATCGATAAAACCATTAGCGAGAGCAGAAACATCTTTAGAGTGTCATTGTTGAACATTTACCACAAGCAAATTTCTATTTCAAAAAGCATTATTGATGCTAGTAAATAAAATATTTGGTATTCAAATAATTGTAAATTGCAAAGAGTGTTTTTAAAGGAGTTGCTTCAAGACAAAAAAAATCTTTGGTTTGATTCTTTACGTTAATTCTTAATTGTAAATAGAATAATCCTTATGGTCAATTTTTTTTTTTTTTTTTAAATACCATTTAATCTTATTGAAACCTCATGTACTTGAGAGCAATTTAGGAATTACTATACACTATAATTTAGGAATTAGTACAGACAAGTCCCATTATGTGCATAGAAAAAAATATGAAATTTTACAGTCGAAGGTTTCAAAAAATCAATAGTACAAATATAAAAAGAGAAAAAAAATACCAAAGCAACTGGCGTTTTTCTTTCTATATTTGAAACAACTAAACAAAATTGAAGTAAAAAATATACTTGGTATTTAAAAAAAAAAAAAAAAAAAAAAAAAAAAACAGCACCCTAAACACAATTCTCCTTGTCAAGACAATACTTATATAAAAACACAACGCAATAGATTTAAAATAGATAAAAAATAGAAAAAATAATACCAAACCAAAAACCAAAATGAAAAAATAAAGGCAAAAGAGGGAAAACCAAGGAAGCTAAAGGGCTGACTGAGGCAAATCTGGAAGAATACATTTTCATGCATTTGCCAATGCATGAAAATGAGTGAACTGAAGTGAACTTGAGTGAAACTGAAATCAATTGAAGTTGATACATTAATCAAATTTATCTGTCCTGAGTTTCAGTTGATCTGACTTGATTGTAGGAGTTTTTTGTGGTTTTCCTCTTTATGTAACACAAATATGGGTAAGTTCCTTTGAAAAGTCTTCCACGGAAGTTTCCTTGTCATCTGAATTGGGTTCAAAATTGCAAGGTTATGGAGTTGAGCATTGATAATCCTAAACTCAGAATTGGATCAGCTGCTCAAAGGTGGTTACGAAATAAAAAATAAAATCTAACTTTGCTAATTTCCATGGAACTAGCAATAGCTTAAAAACCCAGGAAAACTGAACTGGCTGGTGCAAAAAAACCACCATAGCCACATTCAAATGAAGGTCACGAGAAAGAATGTCCCACGATGATTCTATGAAGGAACATTGCGTTTTATCCGCTTGAAACAATAGACGGATAAATTTCTTCTCTTCCATCCCTAGGACTATTGTTTGGACCTTTTGCTAGATTTGTATCAAATTGACTCAAAAAACAATTAACACGGTTACAAAGAATTTCCATATAATTATAATACCGACAGGCTTATCAAAGTTTTACAGAAAACTAGTACACTTGAATATCTAAAATAACACATTTCTGTATTCAAGTAAAATGTGACTCTAGGTTTCTATTATATTGTGATAGGTATCACTTATCTGTAAGAATAATTAACAAAAAGTAAATAAACTTACCTAATTTGGGGGTTAATGCACAAAATTATTAAATAACTTTGTTAGCAAAATATGGGAAATAAAAGTAATAATATTTAGAAAATAATAGTGTTTAGAAAATTAAAACTTTACAAACTGCTTTACTTCAGTAATTTCAATTCATTTAAAGCAAAATAGGTAAAAGCATCAAGGAAAGCTTAAGAAAAATATACATTTCCACAAGAACAACAAGCAATTTTTTATCAGACAAGAGATAAAAAAAGAACATGCAAATTCATGCAAACACAAAAAATAAATAAAATAAGCATACTTTATTATAAAAAAGATTAGGAGGAGTAAATACTAATAGTAATTATGTAAATGGAAAATATAAAGATTATTAACATTTACTCTCTAACTTAAATTACAGTTGTATTTACAATCTAATTTACTTTAACATTTTCTTTAATACTTTGATCCATTACTTTAAAATCTTTAGAATCCTTCGGCTGCATAATATGATAAGTTTTTATTATTTTCTAATAATTTATTATGTTTATTAGCAGTATTTTGAATTGTTTTGGAGATATTTTAGAACATTATTTAGCATTTATATTATTACATCAATATTTTTGAGCTGTTTGGATAAATAATTTTTCTTGGCCAAATTGCAATTCCAAACCAAGTTCCTCATTTCAATGGGACATTACTAATTGATGAATGATGAAAACTGACATAATAATTCCAAACAATTAGAATTTCTTCTCGGTCATTAGATAAAACTTAAAATACACAGAAAATAACTAAAAAATATTTTAAAAAAAGATTGAATTAAAGCAAAACACATACCTTAGTTACCACTAAAGCACCACTTTTTTCATCCACCTGTCGTTGCAGTTCCGCTACAACTACATGATGTGATTTCACCATCCTATTACCTCGCATAAGAGGTGATGTTGCATTGCTTTCTGTATAGGAGGACGGCATAGAATCATCAATGTAATACTCAGCAGCCTGAAAGTCTGTTGATATTGCTAAAGAGTCTGGAGACTTTAACCGCTCCTGCATGGGAGATACGGCGTCTCCATCACTGCGTGCTTTGACCACTCTGGGACTATGCTTTGGATGAGTATTTACATCTATCACATCTGATGAACTTGGTGGACGGGCCCTCAAACCATAAGCAGACTGAGAGGTAGCTGCCACAGGGGACATTCTGTAGTGATCAACAGTTTCAAATTCCTCACCATCAGAATCAGCAATATTAGTTTGATCCCCATATGGACCTTTTAACGAAACTTGCAGTTGCTTTGTGCGTTGCTCTTGCATGTGAGACGGTAGCATGGGATCTTCGAAAGGACTCGAAGTAAGGCTGAAAACTTCGTTGGGTAGGCTGGCATACTCACTAGGAAGACTACTGAAATCTCCAGAAGGAACAGCGAGTTTGTCGATGGGCAGTTCTTTCGTATCGTGAACCTTCTCTGAAACACCTGCGGAGTCACTGGCAACACGGGAGAAAGGTACATTGCTACTGAAAGCAGAGTCTGATTCAGTTTGAGAGACGTATGGCATGGGATCGACAGGAATCACTTCACAGAAGTGAGAAAGCTCTGGTAAATTTATTTTCAGCCACTCTAGATCTTCCTTACCAATATTAGGCAAGTTTTGGTCAAATGGTGAAGGGCACTCAACCTGAAATTTGAAGAAAAAAACATTATAGAATTTGCAATAATATTATCCATTTTTAGTACTCAATAATAGAAAGGGAAAATTCTTATACCTTAAATCCATAATTATTGATTAGATGGACATCAGTTGAAATTTGGTTAAAATTACCTGCCTTCGTCATTAATCAGCTGATTATTCATTTGACCCAGGTGAACTTTTTATAACATTTACTCAAATATATTTTATAACATTTACTCATTTGAATTATTTGGTATCATTAAACTAAATATTTCTCTGAAGGTTAACTTGATTCTTGCTGCCATTAATCATTTGAATTGTTTGGTATCAGTAAATACAATGTTCCTCTGAATGTTGACTTAATACTTGTTGACATTAATAATTCTAATTGTTTTGTATCAATAAATTAAATGTTTCTGAGAAGGTTAACTTAATACTTGTTCACATTAACTCTAATTATACTTAATACATAATGGTATTTATATATATTTGTAGCATCAATTAATAATTTATTTCTCTCTGGTTCTTCACTAGTATCTGGATATATTTGTACATTGTGAAATATTACATATTTCAAAATATATTTCTCCAATAAGTTGCAAAAATTGTGTCTTTGATAAGCATAAAGTATAGCATAATAATAACAATGACATTATTGTCAGATAATGATTATGATAATATCAGTAGTGTCATAATCATCAATGTCAATATTTATCAAACATGATATCATGTAATCAAATAGGATCAATTAAGTATCAAATTAGACAATATTGGAATAATTATTAAGCAACAATCTAATGAGTTAAGAGTTAAACTCAGTTTTTAAATCTCATTTCAATAGATTTCACTCAATGGCATTTAAAATTATAATTAGTAATTTTTTTAAATTCAGTTGGAGAATATAATACTTTTAACCGCAAAAGTAGTATAAATTGATTAAACTGAAAAAATATTGTAATATATCATGAAGTATCCATCTTTTATGAGAATACAATATTTAAATTCTGGTATCATCCAGTCCTAGTTTTCACTATAACAAATTAATAAGAATTCTATTCTTACAAAAACACGAATTTGTTTACACCAAACATTAAAAAAGTAAACAGAAAGCTAGCCTACTTTAAGAAGCACAAATTCTTATGATAAACTATATACTGCAATCTAAAATAAAATAATAAACAATAAAAAGAAGAATAATTATAAATGACCTACAGCAAATTTAGGAGGAACATCACTCATTCCAGGAAACAAATTATCAACCATATTTTTAGTCTCACTACTACTAAAACTTTTCCGTATATCTATTTCTTTGTGATACACTTTGGAAGCTTGTGAAGATAGATCCTCTGCCCACTAGAAAAGAAAAATATCTCGTTATTAGATTGAACAAAAGAATTTAAATTCATGTAATACAGTTATTGTAATAACATAATTCAAACAACACCAGCTTTTTTCACATATGGTGTTATTTTAAACTTTGTGAGACTGCTTAAAATTATGTTTTTGACTTGACCAAAAACTATTTTTTTTTTATTTGAACTAACATAACGCTGCTCTTTTAACCTTTAATTACCTTTAATATTAACTCATTTGCACATAAACAAATGTATTTTGAGAAACATTTAATAATTAAAGAAAGATTGGTTAGGAACATGAGCAGATGATTTTTTTTTTTTTCAATTTTGCAGCTTGATAAATTTTAGTATTATTATCAATGTAAACACATAAAGAAATCACCAAATTTTAAAAAGAAAATGGAATTCAGTAATTTATGAAAAAAATGGAAAAACTCTGGAATGGGAATATTCTAAGAAAAGTATTTATTATTTTTTAATTTTCTCTGCTGATTTTTATTCAACACAACAGAAAAATAGACAGATTTCAGGAAAATCTTTATATTTCTTCAGCTTTGTTTAGAAAAATTTCAATGTGAAAGTGCTAAAAATTTATTTTATTTCAGAATAGATTAAATGCTGTTTTTTTTTCCTTTTAACAATTTATTTTCTAAATTTGAAATAATGAATAAGATAGAATAGGAAAATATGGTGACGTTGTAAATCACATAAATAAATCTAAGGTTAGAAGTAGAATTTCTAAAAATTGTAGATATTTTTATGTGAACAACTTAAACAAGACACCAACAAGCATCTTAAACAAACCTCTTCTCATCTTTTAAAGCTAACTAATTTTTATGATATAAAATTAAAGGCAAACTTGAACAAAAAATATAATTGTTCATTTATTTAAAATAGCTTTATCATTCCTAATTGGTAAATTTGTTTTTACACATAATTATATGAATTGGTATCATTTTTATAAATGCTAAATTTTATTCATAGATCTGTCTTTTCATGACACCAACAAAAGTGGCATTTCCACACCAAGAAAACGGCACTGACTAAAATTAAAATCATTTGCGAAAAGTCTTGTACCTTCGACAGTAATTTGTGAAATCAATGGATGTAACTTCTAAGAACGACCAACCGCCATTAACGACCATTTTACTGTGGAAAGAAGAGTGGTCCAACTCAAAAGGTTTCACTGTATTATTGAAACAAAAAATATCTTCTTAACAATACCATCTAAAATTTAATATCATCGCATAGTAAAATTTGTGATCACTGATTTTCATTAAATTACAATTGCATTGAACAAAATGGAATTCTATACTTACCTTCATAAAACTAGCTGAAAAGGTTTTTCTTCTACAAACTTCAGCCAACATCTTAAGATAACGCTCAGGGGCAATCTGTACCTGACGGAAACTTTCTACTTGACTCATTACAGATTGAATATGATTTTCTAGAAGGGTCACTCTTGTATGTAGTCGATACATTTCATCTTCATAGGTGCCAATGTATCTAAAATATAATAAAAAATAAATAATTATTTTTTTACAAAGAATATAAGATGAATATTGAAATAAGAAATGAGAATAAGATATTTCTCAAAAGGTTATTTTATATTATTTTATAACCGTCGCTGGACAGTCAATCCAATTTTGAGTTGGAACCTAATTCAGAAGACAAGGGAACTCCCGGATCAAGTATCATGAGAAATTTGCTTTCATGGAGGACTTTTTGATGGAACTAACCCACATTTGCATTACATGGAGAGAGAAACCACAAAAATCTCCCACTGTTAGCCTGACAGCAAAGGACACTAATCCATGATCCGTCTACCACTGAGGATAATTCACATCAGCATTGTGGTCAAAGGTTATTGTTATTTATTATTTATTTATATCTCATGTAAGAAACGTATAATGTAACACAATAAAAATTATAATAAGTTACTTAAAAACAGAAATCAGAATTTAATTTTAATAATTTGATGATTTATTGATAAAATAAGTTAAATTGAATTAAATCAAATATTTAAAATACAAGACAAACCACTCACACTAAAACGGTTCAAAAGTTTTACATGTGATTGCTCAAACTCATTTCATGGCAATGCTAAGTAACCCAGCCTAAGATAGAGCAGATTTTTTTTTACATTCTTAACATTATATACAAGAAAAGACTTAGTTGAATTTCTTTGGTTGAAATAGCTGAAATTTAAAGAATTATAATACCCATGCATGTCCTTTCTCAAAATGACATACATTAACTTAATTTGTGGCTACTGACTAAAAAGTATATATTTTGATCCCAACAAACATTCATTCATGTATGTATATTTTAGATTTTGACTTATTCAATACATATACATTATTTCATAATTCTTATTTACAGTAATTTTAATTGCAAATTTTCATCATTTAGAAAAACTTTTGTATTTTATTATTTTTTTTTAATTTTGCATAAATTTATATTTGTTTGTTTTATTTGTTTTGTTGGTTTGCATGTTTTTGTTATTTTTATTATTTTTTATTCATTAAAATAAAATCATACAGTAATTTCCTTTCATTGTTCAAAATAGTCTGTAAAAATTGAAAAAAAATTACAAGTTTTTTAGATTTTTAATACTTTTAATGCATNCTTAAAGTAGTTTTCAAAATGAAATATAGATGGCAGTATAAAGTCACGTGAATAGTAAATGTTAATTTTTGTTTTATGTATATGTAGTTTTAGTTCTCTATGTGTTTTGTCTCAATAAAGTTGTGTAATTAAAACCGGCATGGTAAGTGATTATTTTTCCCCGAGACGAATAAACCTTTTTTCAAGGTTGTAGTGGTGCTCTCTCTCTCTCTCTCTCCTGTGGTATTCCAATGCATTTAGCAGATTTAGAAAAATTACTAAATTTAGGTTTTACCAGCGATAATACAGTCCACCCTAATTAAAAATGAAGATTGATGGATAAATTACCCCCCTTTTGTTAACCCGCATCAACAACAAGTTTTAATAAAGAAGGTTAAATAATAAGTATAATAATATTAAACTTTTTTTAAACTTATTTTCAAATACTTTTTTCATTTTTATAAATATAAGTATCTAATTATAAAACATAATTTCATACTGAAATACTTTTTTTCTTTTTTAAGAAACATATTTTTAAAATGCTATACTCCAGACACGTATTTAGATCCAATATTATTTCAGTTTTTATGAAATGGCAACAAAATTTTTATAAATAATATTTAAAATAAGAAAAATACTTAATAATAATAAACAATTTATGGGTTGAAAGTTGTACATGGCTACTAATATGAAGTATATACTTCAAAATATGATTTAATTAGGTTTTTGTCGTATCAAATTTTTTTTATTGGTAAGAAATTGCTTGCTTAGTAGCTTAAAATGTCAAGCCAATTTATGTATTCAATATCAAATTGAAAGCATAGCAAATATTAAATTCATAGCAAATATTAAATAAAAAATTTAACTAATTTAAAACTTACTTTAATCGGAAATTTATGTGACCAGACAATTCCAATTTAGCATTTGTGCATCTATTTAAAATTTCTCTAAGGCACTTATGATTTTCCAGCATTATCTCCAGCTGACCATGGAGAGTTTTACACAAATCAGGCAAGATTTGATGGTCATTCGCAATCATAGCATGAAACTTTTTAAACTTCTGCAATCAAAAATCATTATGAAAAAACATCAATTCTATTTATTACTAAAGATGTCGATCAATAAATATATTTCAGACATATAAAATTATCTAAGCTAAAATTGAATTTCATATTAATTTTTAAAAAAATGTATCTTGTTCTCCCTAGTAAGTTGATCACCAGATTAAGTTGACCTCCATTATAAGGCAATGAATTTCCAAAAACAGTTACAACACCTTTTAAAAAGGTACCACCTAAGTTAAATAGTAAATTGGTACAATGCAAATGATCAACTTATACTGGTTTCACTGTATTGAAAATGTCTGAAAATGGAACATAATGTTTGCAATATTAATGCATACTAAGATCGTCCATAATGCTCAGTGTCAGGGATACTGAATATTTATAATTTAATGTTTAGTGTTCAACATAGCGGCACTTTGAAATATTCCACAATAAATAAATAAATGGAACAAATACATAATTAGGAAACTCCATCTAATTAAGTAGGGTTACATTGTAACACTAATTAACTTTAAAACCCATTGCACTGTTCTCCTTGAGCATTTTTAGAATGGCAACCCGCCCCACCTGCCATTTTATTCCTATAACAAAACTTTGCCCATTTTTGTAAAAATAAACAGCCATTGCTTAAAAACAGTGCAGTTTTATTCATATTCCATTTTTAAGAAATATTAATTAACTGTTGAAATAATAATTAAATATCTGTGTTTATTGGTTTGCTTCTGATTACTATTACAAATATTTACTTTGCTAGGATTATTCTCAGCTGGTAAAATTTTCGCAAATTTCTTTTTTTAAAGGGGTATATTAATAAAGTTTGTAAGTAAATTTAAATTTTAAAATTATTTTCTAAATAAATACTCTTTTTTTAAAAAAATAAACCTTTAAACATTTATTTTCTAATAATTTTCAGCATAAATTATGGAAAAAATCTTTTAAGCTGTTAATCAAAATGCATTTTTTTTTTAACTTTTACAACAAAAAAAAATGCATCACAAAGATCTCTTAGCATATTTATAAGCTACAAATTTTTCTCTTTTTTTAGATAATGAGTGAAAATTACTTTTTGAAAAGTACACATAAAATAGCATAAAAAGGTAAATTAAAAATTTTTGAAAATCAAATTCAGTTATTACATGATATTACACATTTTGATAAACTTTTAAGGTGTTAAATGAGAGCTCTTTCAAAACTCTAAGTGCTCTTTTCTGTGAAGAAGCACCCTGCCCTTTTTTAATTCCTAGGGAGAACTCTGCGATTATTGTGTTAACTTGGGTAGTAGAAGATGTAATAAACCGAAATGAACAGGTACATATAAAAAACTTTCAGTTCAGTACTTATATCGAAGTACCTTTGTCAGAACAAAGAATGAAGACAAAATTGCCTTGATGGGAATGAATGCATTTCTGTAAAGTACTAAAGGTACATATGAACAGGTACATAAGCACAAATGAAAATAAGCACAAATGAACAGGTACATAAAGGGAATGGCCATTTTAGTACTCATATTGAAGCACTTTTGTCAGAACTATGATAACGAATTACGAGAATATTACCTTAATACTAATGAAAGCATTTTTGAGAAGTACTAAAGCAATTGTCAAAGCTTAAGATCAGGCCCTGGGAGGCAACAGTTAAAATATTACTCATTAAAATATTTCATGTTTTAAATTTGATAAATATGACCTGTAAACTAAAACAAAACATTTGCTAAAGTTAAACAGTTCAATTTAAAAATAATATCTTTTACGGGTAATAATGCATCAAAAATAAATACTAACCAAAGCTAGATCTATTTGATCTTTCTCCAGTTTCCTAGCATCTTGGATCTGTGCATTAAGACGAGTTAATCTTTCACCAATGCCCTTGATTTCTTTAATATCAGGATTATCTACATTTTTTAAAACTCGTTCAAACTCTTCATTAATACCAATAATCGTATGCTCATTGTACTGAAATTAAATGGAGAAAAAATTAATAAACATCAACAACTTTTATATGAAATACAGAATTAGAATAAAGTAATATACTATTTAAGAATATGTGATATTGAAAAAAATATATCAAATTTTTGATTCCAGAAAGACAGTTATGATGCAGAGAAAACAATTACACGAAATAAATACCCTTGCAAAAATACTTCTTTATTCACTCCTCGTAAGCTAAGAGTTTACTGCAAAAAAGATATAGCACTATTTTCACTGTATTTGAAAATGCAAAAATTGATTATTAGTATTTATTTATTATTCCCTTTCAATTAAATGGTGTAGTCAGGAAAAGGTTAAAATATTTTACTGATACAAGAATAAGGAAATTTCTAGTACTTCACAACAGGAAATATTACAGTGTGTAGTAAAATTTAAGCTACATTCTTTTTTATAGCAAACCTTCATTATTGAAAATTCATAAATTTTATTCCAGTAACTGCGAAAGTGGAAGAATAGTAGTCAGCATGCATAATTACAGAGCTGATAACTCAGATTAGATTTCAGACATGGGTAGTTGGCCACTGTGTCCTCAGACTTTTAATTCTCCAGCGTTGATGAAATGAATACCAAAATTAGCATTAAAATATAACTGCACACTGGCTACTTATTGAGCCAAGTTTGACACTGGTTACTTTTTGAACTAAGTTTGACCAAAAAAATAGACCAAAAATAGTATCAGGCTTGCCTAAATAATACTGATAATGCATTATAAGCCACTGTAGTTTGGTAAGACCCTATATATATTTTTTTTAAAATATGAGAGTACTGTTAAAATCTAGTTTCAACTGCAAATTACTGCACTCATGTATCAATTAATGAAATAATGAATTTATATTTAGAATTATATCATAAAATATTACAACTGATAATATGAGTTAAAATTAAAAATGTTTAGGGAGAGACTTAACAAAAGTTTTAGAATTTTGAATGCTTTGAGAGATAATATATCAAGTATTCTAGTTTTTAATTAAAACATATTTTAAATAAAGTAATTAAATTTTACAACAATTTTAAATACTGAATAATTTAAATTATAAGAATTTTTATCACATTATCAAGATTAGTCAATGAATATGCACCATTATTAATATCTCATTTATTTATTTATTATTATTTTCAACTAATGAATACTGATCCAATAAAAATAAAGTTTAAAATACATAAATGCATACCTCTTCAAGTAAATGATGACATTTGTCAACTAAAGCTTCTAAAACCTCTCTAGGCTGCAAAAATTTTACAAAGATGTTAAAAATCATAGAAAATAAACATCAAAACTTTAAGCTATCAGCATCGAATAATTTTAAAAATTAGAATACCTCAGTAACAAACCATGATAGCAAGGTATGGTTTGTAATTAAATCTTCATCTGTATTATCAATAATTAATTTAGAAATCAAAGGAATTTTAGCAAGTAATTCAATATTAGAAGGGAACCTAGAAAATAAAATTATAATTTCAAAATAATAACAACAATAGTATACAAATAAAAATAAAATAATTAATAAAGTAACATCTTTTAGCAGATTTTATATCAAAACTAAAACTAAATGTCAGCAATATTTATAAGGCTTATAATTTGTCAAGCATATTTTGTAATCAATTCATGAAAAAGATGTAATGTGAATGCATATACAGTCGGACTTCTATTTAGCGAACTTCCATTTTGCGAGTTTCTCTATTTTGGCGATTTCTTTCAAGGAACCAAGAAGATTTTGGAAATTTCTTCACAAAATAACTTCCAGATGGCAAAGTGAATTTTCTATTTAATGAACTTTTCTCTGAGATCCACTTTCCCTATTTCTCAAAATATTTCAGAACATTTCAAACTTGGTAACGATTTTACGGGGGAAATGACATTGAATTGACTTTCAAAGCCACTTAATTTTTAGAGGAAGCGGTAAAATCCCTTTCTTTTCTTGTTTGCATATCAAACAAAAAACTCAGACAAAATTAACGCATTTTATCCGTAGCAATTAAACTTAAGAACGCATGTGGTAATGTATGTTTAAAATTACTTTTATAATAAATGCGGCTAACATTTTATACATAGATTTAGCTTTTTTAAGTTGAAAATGTATGTAGCATGATAGTGTAACACTGGATCATGCTTCGCCCTATTCTTGCTTTCCATGCAGATTTCTTTTACGGTTGAGATTTATAAAATAAATTGTAAATACTAGTTCACAAGATAAATGTGTATCAATTGCTACTTTAATTGTGTCTGTGTTTATGAATTTAAAACCTGTTTGTGTTGTTTAAGGGTTATTATCGGGATTTAGGGACTTCGTTAAATAGAGGTCCGACTGTATTATGAAAAATTAGACAATTGTCTTATTCTAATAAAGTTTTAAATAATAGTAAGTGATCTTTATAACTAATTTTCTGAGCAATTACGAAATATGATAATTATAGTTTATATATTTCAGGAAAATTCAAAAATTTTTAATGCTTCAGCAGTTCTGAAATTCCATTAACTTCTAGTTTATGAAAGGTATACCAGAATAACAGGCTTTAGTATTATAAGTGTCTCAAGCAAATGGTTTAACTTTAAAGCTGATATTTAATAAGATTTTTCTCCCCCTACCTCAAATTTGCATTTTTAAATGATTATCCATTATTTTAAAAGACGTGTAGTTTTAATTTTATTAATTTTAACATTACACACTAAATTAACTTGCTTATGACCTTTCCAGGATTTAAAAATATTGATGTTTGAGTGAACAAAAACTGTATAACAATATAATAAAAAATTTTGGGAGCTTTTTATGAGATATTGATAAAAGATTTTTCTGTTTCAAAAAACTTGAGTACTTTTCATTATTCTTTCAAAAATTACAAAAACAATAAAGAATAACAATTAAAAGTAATTGCAAAAATATAATAAAGATAAATTAATTAAATGCTTAATTATAAGATAAAAAGCTTCTAATATACATATTGGAACCATTTAATGGAATATTTATAAGAGATATTTTCTGTTTCAGAAGATTTGAGTTCTGTTTATTATTCCTTCAAAAATTACTTAACCAATAAAGAATAGCAATTTTAAATTATTTCAAAAAAATATTAAAGACAATAATTCTAATAACAAATTAAATGAATTAAAATTACAAAGCTAGGTGTGATTTACCATTTTTTTCCTCAACAAAAACTAAACCATGGTAATTCAAAAAGTGTGTACATATGTTCCATTATTATAATTATTAATTATCTAAAATTAACCCAACAGGCAATAAAATTGCAAATTACGAAANTTTAAAAGACAATAATTCTAATAACAAATTAAATGAATTAAAATTGCAAAGCTAGGTGTGATTTACCATTTTTTTCCTCAACAAAAACTAAACCATGGTAATTCAAAAATTTTGTACATATGTTCCATTATTATAATTATTAATTATCTAAAATTAACCCAACAGGAAATAAAATTGCAAATTACGAAATGAAATACTGAACGTTTAAATAAACTGAAATTTACTTTTTTTCCAACCAATTAAAATTTTCTGCATTATTTCAGTTATGCAATAAATGGTTAACAGACACGTAACAATGTTACAAAACTACGTAATAAAAAACTACAAATGCATAATATTTCTCATTAAATAACCTCCCCCCTCAAATAAAAATTAAATAATGCATTTTTGTATCATTTTACAAGAAACTTCCTACTATCCATAAAAACCAAAAATCATTTTATTCGATAAACCATAACTAAATTGAACTATAATAAAAACAAATTTATAAGCAGGAGTCTGTCTAGGTTTTTCTGAGAGGATTTTGTGAAAATTTAGACATAATTTGAGACAAATTAAAAATTATATTTAAAAATCTAACACAAAAATATGGCAAGAATATAGATTTATCATTTCTTAAGGAATACAAAAATAAAATTTTAAGAAAAAGTATTTTGTGAAACTACCGTTTTTCCTAAAATTAAATTTGTGAAACTACCGTTTTTCCTAAAGTTGAATTTGTGAAGGTACCGCTAAACGGTAGTGAATTCGGTCTGGACAGACTCCTGATAAGTTAAATAATATGTATGGAAAGTAAGATATTCTTAAAAGAACCTTTCATAATATTAATTCAACAACTGGCTGGTGAGAATTTACTAATAATCAATGCATAAAATTTGAAAAGAAATACTTACATATAAATTGTTTCCAAAAAAGAGGACCGATTAGTCATATAATTCTGATACAGAATTTCAAATTTTTCTTTCCGCTTCTCTAATATTCTGAAAATAAAATCAAAAGTAAAAAACACTTTTTGTAAGAATAAAATCATTTTTAATACATTGAAATAAGATTAATCAAAGCCAATTTAACTAATTTCAAGAACTTTATCCAACACAACCCTCATTAACTTTAAAAATAATTCCTTTGTTCTTTTTATGTAGACTACTGAACACCACTATTATGAACTCAACTGGTAGGTGAAATTAAATACTTGAAACCATCAAAGTTGTTGACCTCAGAATCTTAAATCAGAACTTAATAGTTTAAATATTCCCTTATAAACTATCGCATGATAGTGTAACA